CTGAGACTTGATTTACATGAAATACTCAGGGAAAAGTTTATTAGTGTGGTATATAAATACAGCAATTAATTCATTAAGACTCCGCTTAGAGCACTTGAAGATATTATACCACACATGGATGTAAAGATAAGAGTAACACTGCAATTATCATTTAGAGAAAATGGTTCCATGATTACATTTTCAGTCTTTTTCACCAAAGCGCTAATCTGTGTCAGCAAACACAATTTTCTTGCAGGTTACCGTGGAAACAAAGCTTTGCCCAGCATCTCCAACTTGCCAAAATGTCAATAAAAATGCCATCAACAAAGCATGACTTTAATACTTTGGGGACTGGGTTGTTAATGGGTTTGCAGTGACTGTGTAGAAGTTTACTGTAGGTCTATATTTTTTTATTTTCAATGATTTACTATAATACCTCCAGGATATTGTAACATTTGTAGTGTATCCTTCCGACAGATCATTATAGCATATAGCAGGCTTTGTACTAGAACCCCATATTGCAGACTGAAAAACGCTCCAATTTAAATTTATGATTATTATTATTATTATACTATATCATAATTTGGTGTTGTTTTTTCACTATGCAAAGCAAACATTTAAGACAAGGGATAATTTCAGCAGTGATTCTACACCAGGGGTAAGTGGAAGGAATAGAGAGGGATGACCAGACCCATGAAATGTCTTCTGCTTCAACTAATTTGGACAAAAGTTAATTATAATTTGATCAAGCGCTAACACCTGAACATCACATTGCAATTTAGAGTTTAGCAAGGAAGCAAAGAAGATGAAACAGTTATACTAGCTAAAATAATGGATAAAGCTAAAAGATTAATGGTTGAAATAGCTAAAAGAAATGTATGAGGTTGAAATACTTCACTAATTAATGGATAAATGGTTAGAACTGCTAAAAGTAACAGAGGTTGGGAGGGTGCAAAAAATGAATAGTTGAAATAGCTCAAATAAGTGAATAAAAGGGTAAAATGGTTACTGGTTGAAATAGCTAAAAGTAATGGATAAGAAGTTAATGTAAAAATATATATAAATAGATGCACAAGAGGTTGAAATAGTTAGCTACAAAAACGAATAAACTGTTGAAATAGCTAAAAGACATTACACTAATGGATGGACTGTTGAAATAGCTAAGAGTAATGGATGATTGCTGAAAATATGTAGCTAAACTGATGGTTAAATGGTGAATTTGCACAAAGTAATTAATTCACTGGATAGCTACATGGTTGAAATAGCTAATGCTAGCTAAAAGTAATGGATAGTTAAAAGTGCTAAACCTAATGGAGAATTGGTTGAAGTAGCTAAAAAAGAAGTTGATTAATATAGTAATTCTTGCTGAAGGTAAGCTCACTTAATGCATATAAGAGGTTGAAACGTCTAAATGTCTCGACAGAAAGGTTTTAAAGCAACTTGTAAGTGTTTTAAACGTGTGTGTAGCTGCTCCAGTACTATTCTTACCTGGAGGTGTAAGCCAAAACCAGAGCTGGTGGTGTCCTCCACCTGCACGGGACACTGTGATGTCAGCGAGTTTACTGCTGCGAGAGCTGAATATGCACATTCTCTCCTGAGGGTCACTTGGGTATTTTTAGTGTTTATGATTTAAAAAGAGGTGAGAATCAAAGGGATGCCCAGGGTGAGAGCAGCCACTGCATTTGCATCTCAGTTTTTTTTTTTTCATTGGCAACAAGGACATTCTTCTGCATAATTGTCCATTTCATTTGGGTGTATGGAAAGATTAAAAAAACCCTTCTTCTCTCTCCCTGCTTCCACAGCCACAGTCAATGCCATGAATAATTTAAATACATAATTGCAAAAATCATCACATGTGAGCATATTCAGTGGTTTATATTCCTCTCAGCTATGCACATGCAATGTTTATAAATCATCCACTGTATATTGGTGTGTTTGCGTTTTCATCAGAGGTACAAAATATAAAAGCTATTCAGTCGGTTTTCAGTGAAACAAATTTTTTTTCCAGTAAACTAAAGTTTTTTGGGTTTTTTTTTGTTCTTTATCAAAGGTGTCATTGAGTAGTTTTTTTAAATAACAGCTCCCAATGTCATTACTGTGAAGTCATTTTGTTTCAGTGTAACATTGGACTCACACATAATGGTCTGAGGTCACATTTTCATGATTCAATTTAGTTTTTGAAAAATGACCAGCCAGTTACATCTTTCCGCATATACTCTCGGTTTCATTCATCTCTAGACACCAAGCGCCAGCTGTATTTATATACTGACAGTTATTTTAAAGGCGCCATTTTCATTGTCATTATCAAAATGAAACATGAAAGCAGCTGAATTCATCTGTCCTTGTTTGACCGTACCCATTCTCTGCCTCAAAATGTACAGTTTGGTGCCGTTTATAGACACACTGTCAGTAAAACCAGATGAGATCTGTCAGCTAACATCCTGGCGTCATGTAAAAATCACACTTAAAGCCATAAATAAAGTTATGGACTCTGTAGAATTTAAATTATATTTAAATCTGGATTTCAGGACTGTATCACTGTGGGGGGGGGGGG